GTAGGAGCCAAGGTGACTGCAAAGCTGCTCTCTCTCCCGGTGCCAGGAGAGGTTCCCAATAACTGGAAAAAGGCAAGTGTCACACCTGTCTTCACAAAGGGCAACAAAAAGGATCTGGAGACCTCAGCCTCCAAACAGATTATGAAGTAAGTCCTCCTGTATTTGCTGTGTCCCTGCACACCAAGGATGGGATAATTTGGAGCAGCCAGCACAGATTTACCAAAGGCAAATCGGGCCTGGCTAACTTCCACACCTTCTGTGATGAAATGGCTCTGCAGACGAGGGTGGGACAACGTCCAGCCTGCACCTTGCCCTTGGGAAGACTTTTGGCTCCTGGGAGTGGCAGACTGTGATGTGGGTGGAAAACAGGCTGAATTGCTGGGCTGCAAGGGCTGGGACCAGCATGTTGAGATGTGCTGGGTTACCAGTAGCATCCCCCAGCACCCGGCAGCAGAACCAACACTGCTTTAACTCCATGCTGCTCTACTCAGAAGGACCTCTGCAGGCAGGCTGGCAGGAACCCCTGAAGTTCAGTAAAGGGAGAGTGCTTGGTGTGGAGTAACCCCGTGGTGCAGGGCAAGCTGGTTCTGCCTGCCTGCACAGCTGCTCTGCAGGAACAGGCAGGTCGAGTGGGAGCGAGCAGGGCCTGCCTGCAATGAAAAGGGCTGATGCACCCTCAGCTGTGTTGGGCAGAGGGTCAAGGGAAGTGGTTCTTCCACTCTGTGAGATGGTTTGTGATATTGCATCTGGATGCTGTGTGTAGTTTTGGGCTCCCTAACACAGACGCTGACAGCCTGGAGTGAGTTCAGTGGAGAGCCACCAAAATGAGGGGGCTGAAGCACATGATGCACAAGAAAAGGCCGAGAAAATAGCTCAGCTTGAAGAGGAGGCTCCAGGGAGATCCTACAGCTGTCTGCAACTACCTAATGGGGGCAGATAGAGAAAACAGCCAAACTCTTCTTGAAAGCTTACAGCAAAACAAAGAGACCATAGACACAAACTGCAGCAAGAATAAACCCCATTAGATCTAAAGAGAAAATTCTGCAGGATGAGGTTGGCCAAACACTGAAACTGGGGGGGGCAGGGCAATTGTGACATTACTGCCCATGAAGATACTCAAAACCTCACTGCACACAGGCCTGAGCAACCTAATGTGTTGCCCCTATTTTGGCCCAGGAGACTGCAAGACATCTGTTCCAAACTGAATTACTCTGCGAGTTCAGCTATGGTGGTAGGAGCATCCCCAACTGACTTACTACAATAAGGAATGTGCATCTGAATGCAAATCTGCTTCTATCTTACAAGTACCAGGACCATTTTTCTGTTGTTACTGTTTCACGCTCTCTGAAGGCTGGAGATATGGGGCAGCAGCATTTTGATGCCTCAAAGAAAACATAATAGCAAAGATGGAAGAAATTGTTTATGATGAGGGTGGTGAAACACTGGCCGAGGTTTCGCAGAGAGGTGGTGGAAGCCCATCCCTGGAAACATTCAAGGTGAAGCTGGACAGGACTGAACAACCTGATGCAGTTGATGTCCTTGCTGACTGCAGGGGGGTTGGGCTAGATGATGTTCAAACCCAAAACATTCTAAGTCAATATTGCAAGCAAAGGCACAAAACAGCACTGGTTGGAGAAAAAGCATTAGCTTAAATATGTCTTGAGAGATGAAAGACATAGGGACCTAGTCTGGAGACAGGGCAGGCAACAAGGTATGTACCTGGAGTCAGTCTGGAGCAGCAAACCTGTGCTGAAGTGCTGAAGTCTAAACTGCTGCTGCTGGAAGCAGAGCAAACCAGAATAAAGGTAGTTTAGACACTCTTGGACGACATCCTCCACGTGGAGTACGCAGTGTGTCAAGAGACAAGTTGAACAGCACTGCCTTCCACAAAAACCAAGTCCCACCTCTGGTTCCTGGCCTCTGCTGAATTTCAAGCTTTGGGCAACCCCTACCCACCTACTGAGGCACTGCAGCCTGGCTTCTCTCCAGCATGAGAAACAGGGTCTCAAGGCTACAGCTGTCCCTAACTTCTCAGCTGTGGGTGCCCACCCACCCCTAAAGACATAGATGACTTCAGCAGTACTAGTGAGAGGTGGATCCATCACAGCCAGCTCAGAGAACTAAGAGAATAAAAACATCCCAGGCTCTTCCCTCATGGTTGTCTCTTGCAATATCACCTGACCTCAGCAGTAGGGAGCTGATATAGAAGCCTCCTTCAGAGATGTTGCTCCTGTTGAGGTCCTGCCACACCCCTGAGGGTTCCCCTTCTCCCAGCCTGGGAGAATGCCTATCTGGGGCTGAACAGGAGGATATTTTATCAGCTTTTCTCTCTTCAAGCACCAGCCACAGAGGTTGCCAATCAAACCTTGTGGTGAGAATGGAGATGTACACCCAGGTGAATATATTGGCCGTTGTCTCCATCCCTTCCTATCCACTCAGGTTTGTTGTCCTCTCATTACACTATTCACACTAATTTTAGTATCTCCTAAGTAGAAAAGGGTCAGTCCTGAAATTCTAGCAAAACATGAAATCACAATACCTGAAAAAAAGAGGACAAAACTAGTCTGACTTTATAAACTGACAGAGATCATTTTAAGAGTGTTATTTTTCCCTGATGCAGGGGGAAGAACAAAAGGCTGAGGAAACCAACACATTAAGAGATAACAGATACCAGCTTTCCAAGAACATCTGCTACTTATACAATGTACAGACTAGGCTAATGAATATTCCAATTATTAAATATTTTCTTTTTAATCTCTACTCTCCTCACAGCTTCTATGGAATTTTACAAAGAGCCTTCTCACACAGACTGAGGGATGAAGCTGGTGCACCCAGAGGTACCTGTGTATGCAGAGGAAAACTGGTATCAATGGATGCAGCAAACAATAACAACAGTTCGCTGTTGCTTTCTCAACTTTTATGATGCCAGCATCCCCAAAAAACTTCATTTAAGACCTTTAAGTGTCTGGCTTGAAGGTGCACAACTTGGGACATGCACGGCCTGTGCAACCTACCCTCTTACAGCTCATGCCCGACCTACAATCCCTTCCTTAGCAAAACAAATCATGAAACCCCTCATACAAAGCACCTGATAAACTGAGGAGGTGATGGTGCTAACAGAGGACTTCCCAACCCAATAATCACCCACTCAGCGGCAAGTTTCAGCCAGCCAGCCAGGAAGCACTTCGGGATGTAAATTCTGGCTATCAGGAAACATCAGGAGAGGCTTCACCTCTCAGTTCACCCAGCGGGGAGCTGCTCGTGGCTGCTCCAGCACCTGCCCAGGGAAGTTGTCTGAAGTCCCGAGGAAATGGGGGTTTGCTCTGAAAGGCTGGCACGGTGGCTGTGGATTTGCACTCACCTTGCTGGCTGAGCAGCCTTCCTCTGCACACCCTTCCCTTGGAGCTCAACCTTCCCCCACTCCAGGCACCACGTCTAGAAGGAGCAGTCTTGGTTTCACACCTGGCTGATGAACTAAACAGAAGTGGAAAAAAAACCAACAACCCCAGTATCTTACCAAGCAGCACCAGTTCTCATGCTCAGGATGAGCTTTGTACACACCTAGCACCAGGTAAAACACAACAGATTTTTGTAACAAGCACTTTCACACAGAGGTACTCAACTGCTTTGCACACAATTTGGTCTAGTTAGGGACTTCTTTTAAATAAAACAAAATAACCTACATAGTGACAAGTCTTGTCCATAACCACAAAGACAGCAAACAGAAACCAGCTCCACAGTATTGTAACAGGATGTAAAACAAACTTCACAAATCAGCAGAAAAAAAAGGAATTAAGTCAGTATTTTTTTTCAGACAACTGTTTTTTTGATGCTTTATTTTCAGAACTGCTGTGAAAAAACCTACCCATTTTTCTTTTTTTTTTTTTCCCCCCCAAAGTGAAGTCACAAATCTCAGTTACTGCTCTGAGGTTTTGTGGCCAACATACAACTCACAGACTTCTTCCCCAGGAAAAGGAGCGTGAGGTTCTGCGTGGTTTAGGCTGCTCACAAGGGGTGGGGGACAAGAAAAAATTCTAGCTTCACAAAAGGTGTCTCTTGAGAACATTACTGAGTGGTAAGAAGATGAGCCAAGTTTTGCCAGAACCGTCGCTAGAAGCAAGGCTGTAAGTTTAACCTGGCACGACGCACAAGGCCGGTTCATTGCTAGTGCCTCGTTTCTCACAAACAGAAGCCCTTGTAGCTTGTGCTGGTGGCAGTAACGATTCTCCACGACTCTCCTCTTCCTGGGCCGAGTAGGGAGGAGGGAATTCCAGCAGAGGAGCCGTGCCACCAGAGTCCCGCTCCGCAGAAGCCGCCGCAGGGAGCCTGCTGCTGCGGGGCAGCCGGGAGAGCTGGCAGAGGAAACAACCCAGAACCCTTGCATGCTTGGTGCTGATTAGCAAGATAAACAAAATTAAATGGATGATACTTGGAGATAAACAACTTGTCCCCCATTTCCACATGCAGGCAGAGATATTCTAGGTTACCACTAGACATCACAGCTTGCAGAATTTATCAAAGGAGTAACAACTATCAACATAATTACACTTGCAATAAAATAAAATAAAAAAAAAAAAAACACCAAGGATTTCTCCTCTTTCTGGTTTGTAATTCAGCTAGGAATCAAAAAAGTTCATGCACTTATACAAGAGCAATAAAAAAAATTAAATATTTATTTTGAATAACAAGCTTAAGTTCAAGCTGCAATGTTGGCAATGTAGATTTTTAACACAGATCACAAAGCGTGCAGAAAAATGTATTTGAGCAAAGAACAAAATAATACTAAGAATTATACTAAACAGCTGCTGATTTTAAAGAAACAAAAAAAGGCCTGTAATCACTATACAAAATATAAAATGTATTAAACACTACCATCCACAGAACAGAGGTTTATTTTAGTTTGATTATATTTAAAAATTATTTGTGTAGTTATTTATATAGTGAATTGTAAATGAATATTATACAGTAACCTCCTTTTGGTCTGCCAAACCTTCGTTGCACTATAGCACATCCGATCACATTGCAAAAAAAGAATTATTTTTCCTATCAATAAAGAAAACAATCATTGATAATACAGTAAATATTGTCAGGTCTACAATAATGAAATTAAAAATGACTCCTTCGACTCTGAAGCGCTTTCCATGCAAAGTCTGCACTTGCTCAGTTTAAACAGAGTGCACTAGCAAGCCATGTCCAGGGTCGTAGATGCTCTTGATAAGACTAAACCTTAATAGGGAAAAAAAAAAAAAAAAAAAAAAAAAAAGGAAAAACCCCCAAAAATCAAAGATTGAACATAATCATGCAACCATTGTACTACTGGGTATACCCATGGTGTTGCTTATCAATTTATTGCCTTTCTGGAATATCACTCAAGGCATCAAAATTAGATATGATAAATATACATATAATGAAAGGACACAAACTGCTATTTGACACTACTACTGGTAATGTCTGTGCTACGTGAAAGCACCTTTAAAAAGAGCCTATGCGGCAAGAGATAAGTGTCTAAAGATTCAAAATGAATCAACAGTATTGGATAACAATATAATTCTCAACTCAGAAGCTGCCTCAAGATTAGGTGCATCTTCAGTTAATGTAACAGGAAAAAAAGGCAATGGATTTTATTTCATTAATTGTATCCACTCATAAACTGACCTAAGGCCACCAGATGTGCAGACACAACAAGTTTTCTTTTCTTTTTACAGTTCTTTAAATCGTAGGATGATAAAGGAATAGATCTATTTAAAAACAAAGGGCTATTTCTCTACATTAAGAGGTGGCCCCGGGCGTGGGGTTCACGTTCTGGGTGGCCACCTGTGGTGCGACCTCAATGATCCGCGGCTTGTCTATAATCCTGGCCGTGCGGTTGCCCTTCTCTACGATGCCGATGATCCACGCTTGGTGACCCTCCCCGTACTTTGGAGACTTGATCTCGGCACAGAAACGCGCTGCCTGCTCCCGTGGTAAGCAGATGAGGAGGCCTCCTGCAAGGAAGGAAAAGCAGGGCGTGAAAACCTCTGATGGCAAAAGCATTTCAGCCTTCGGCTGCCAAATCCCTACTCAGACGAGCGCTCGGCGGCTTCAGGGGCTTCTGTCGGGCTCGGAGGGAGACACGGCGCAGGGCTGAGCTCTGGCTTCACAGGAAGAGGTTTGTGCCCACGTTCAGTGTTCAGTGGGTATGTAAACGAAGCCAAACACGCACAAAAGATGTTGGCAGAAGGGCATCACAGGGACGCCAACAAATGACATAGTGAAACAACAGCAGCATTGTAGACTTCCAGCAGAGGACTGCAAAGTGCCTCTACACGGAAATGTTTTGGATAAAGGTCATATTCAGACACCTATAACCACATATTGGTAGCAGCTGGTTCTCCAAGTAGCCCTGTTGCCTGCCATGAAGTCAAAGTAGAGACTATTACCAGGGAGTGCAAGAGGCAGAAAACTGACCATAGGCTTGATCCAGTGCTCACTGGGACAGTCCTCTCGGCCCCTTTGAGAATTTTCTGACCTTTTTTTAGCCTTTCCTGTAAGAGTTCCTGTAAAAATGTTTCCAGAGAAGACTCCACAACCTCTCTGGGCAGCCTGTTCCAGGACCCTGTCACCCACAGAACTTCCTGTGCTCCAGTTTGTGCCCTCTGCCCCTTGTCTTGTCACTGGGCACCACTGAAAGGAGTCTGGTCCCATCCTAGTGACACCTGCCCTTTAGATCTCAATAAGCATCGAGAAGATCCCCTCTCAGTCTCCTCTTCTCAGCCTTTCCTTGTCAGACAGATGCTCCAGTCCCCTCATCATCTTCATAGCCTCCACTGGACACTCTCCAGTAGTTCCGTCTCTCTAGAACTGAGGAGCCCAGAACTGGACCCAATACTTCAGATATGGCTTCACCAGGGCAGAGTAGAGGAGGAGGAGAACCTCCTTTGACCTGCTAGTCACACTATTCTTAATGCACTCCAGGAGACCATTTGGCTTCTTGGCTACAAGGTCACATAGCTGCCTCATGGTTAACTTGCTCACCAGGACTCCCAGGTCCTTCTCCGTGGAGCTGCTTTCCAGCAGGTCAACCCCTAACCTGTACTGGTGCATGGGGTCATTCCTTCCCAGGTGCAGGACTCTGCACTTGCCCTGGTTGAACTTTATGAGGTTCTCCTCCACTTAACCATCCAGCCTCCCCAGGTCTTGCAGCGTGGTGGCACAGCCTTCAGTGAGTCAGCCACTCCTCCCAGTTTGGTATCATCAGCAAATGTGCTGAGGGTCCACTCTGTCCCTTCATCCAGGTCACTGACAAGTATATTGATCAAGACTGGACCTAGTCCTGACCCCTGGGGAACTCCATGAGTTAGAGGCCTCCATCTAGACTCTGTGCCACCAATCTCAGCCTTCTGAGCTCTGCCATTCAGCCAAGTTCTCAATCCACTTCACTGTCCACTCATCTAACCCACACTTCCTGAGCCTACCTGTGAGGACGTTATGGGAGACAGGGTCACAAGCCTTGCTGAAGTCCAGGTAAGAACACTTCCACTCAAAGAATCCCAAAGCACTGAAAGAGGTGGCTTGGCAGGTGAATTACTAGCACGAGTCTCACTGTCAGCTCTGGCGCAGGTTTCCAGGAGGCTCTGACCAAATCACTGCATGTTTGGGTGCTACCCTTCATTACCAGTCAGCTTTTCTACATCCCTCCTCTTTTTCACATTTACACCTCGTGGCAAATGTGTGAAGCAGAGCAACACAGAGCAGGCAGGTCACCTGCAGGTGTTTCATGAAACCTCCCATCTCTGCACGCCACGTGCGGCTGGGGCAGCTCACCCTGTACACTCTGCTGGTGTCAGCACATCATCTCCCACTGGAAAATGTCTGGAGCACACAGGCAAGAGAGCATGTTCACACAAACAGGAGTCTGGGCACATGCTGAGGCCTGCTTACTATTTGAGAGTTATTTGAACCAAAGTCTTCTAGTCTGGACAAAGGGCACCAGCCATCAGCCCAAGTCCTGCCACCAGCTCTGAGCCAACCCTGAGGGCAAAGGGCCAGCTAAGGAGCTGGCTGCCCTGGGCTCAGTGCCACCTCCTCTTCTGCTGCCCTGGGCCAGCTTCTTAGCACCTTGGGCACCTTTTATGTTGGCTTTCCCAAGCAAACAGTCCTCTCGGTGGTGTCTAAAGACACTTTTAATTCAAGGCTGTGAGAAAGAAGCAGCTACTGCAGATGAGGAATTATTTATAAGGATACATGGAGGCGTGAAAGTTATTTTTTAGGTTCTACATGAAGCAAATGAGTGTGCCATCCAGGAAAACGCCTACCTCTCACACAGACCAGAACATAACATCCAGGTACTGCCATGAGAAATAAATCCCTGGAAGCTTGAAAGACAGGGCTTAACTACTCCAGCAGTTCAAACTGAAGAGAAACATCCATCATGGTGCAAGTGAGTCAGGGACAAGGTTTAGAAGTGGCAGTGCATAGAACAAGCCAGCTAGCCAAAAGGGAGGAGGGGAATTACAGTGAAAAAGGAAGTAAGCAGGAGCACAGGAATAATCTCTACTCAGTTACCTTCCCCCCACACACTCTCCTGCTGATTTTGTATCACTTATATGCATAACCTGTCAACATTTGTTGGCAAGATCAGAAAAGTCTAAAAAATCCCAGTTTCCAATACAAATAAAAAAATACTTCCTGCCTGTTGTCTGCAACCCACAGTTTATCAATAACCTTTAATCAAGGCTATAGGCTACTCTGCAGGGATTGTAATTGTTCCTCTGGTAGATTGACCAGTTTCTGTACTCCTTTGGATAAGTCCATTACGTTTTCCATTATATTCTCTTCCATTTTATGTTGCTGGCCTTCCCAGCTGCTCTGGTTTTTGTCCTATGGACAACTATAAGAAGCCTTCACCTGTGCAAGGTCACAGTTACCAGGAGTTTAAGTTAACATGCCTGTGGAAACTGAAGCAGCAGTGCCACTCTGCCCTGAAGCAAGCAGCATTTCATGGTGTAACATGTTTTTGAGCTCTGTCAGCCACTGCTGAAGACAAAGCAAATGGGGTGCAGACAGAATGAACGCTTCTCTGGGCCTCTGAAAGGTCACAGATACTTGCTGTCTGTCCTGGTTTATCTTTCTAAAAATCTAAGGGTTTTTTTTTTTTTGATAGGAGGTTTTGAACATTGGTTTTAAGTTTTCTAGTGCAAGCAAGGAACTGGACAGAAAACTTGAAATTCAGACTAGACAAAGCTTTGCAATTAAGAGCAGGGATACAAACAGCTCACCAATGGAAATTGAGCATCCTGGCTCCTGCTAATGGCTTTCTCCCACAATGACTAACAAAGGGATGAGATCATTAGGCACTAACATAACCCTTCTTTTCTACCCATCTGCCTATTTCCACAGTCTGCACAAACACCGTGTTGTTGAGATATCTCTACCACATTGATAAAGTTGGCCAACAGCAGTCAACAGTTTATTAGAAGATGACTGGCAAAAATACACGCATGTACAGATACCCCATGTAGAGTAACTTGGTGAATTATTTCTGCAGCCAGCCAGCCTAATAAACACAATTAAGTTTTTTGAACCTAACTGCCTAATTGCAACTTTAACCTCACCAGAGAGTTACCTAAAAGAGTGCAAAATCATGTAAACCTGCAATTTTAAGAAAACACGCCATAAGCAAAGTGCCTGGAGGATGGAACAGATGACATAATACATCTTTCCAACACTGATTTTGTCAACAGGTGCCCAGCAAACGCACACTGGGAAAAAAACAAGTCTTAAAATCCATTCAAATCGTTTTCCAGTAAATTTCTGATTGCCTGCTCATTCTGCTGAGCAATATCTGCTCACAAATAAAGAAGCTACAGATGGGGCATTTCTGGAAGTTTAAGACAGAGGAAGAGTGTTGCTGTGTTACAGTATGCCCTGAGCAGCCCCCAAGGACCCCTCTGAAGTGGGTACACAAGCACAGCAAGGCAGACATTTGCCTTCACACCAACCGACCCCGGGATATGAGCTGTGCCAACAGCCTGGGGCTGAAGGCTGTGGTGTCAGGCCTGAAGCTGGTGGGACTGCAGGCACGGAGCCTTCAGACCAGAGCTGCTGTGTCCACAAGGCTGAGCCTACAGACTTCCCTCCTACAAGGCAGGTGCTGCCCTGTAACAAACCCCTACAGCTGCCTCTAACGCGTGGAACACAACGCTGGGGTGACGTCAAACAGGCACGTCTGGAGGCACCCAGAGTTCACAGACAACCACAACAGTCTTGCTGGTTTGCCCATCATCTTCTGTCGATGGTGAGACGCAAACCATTCAGTGTTTCAAACACACCTCTTGCTCTCAGTCCCAAAAGAGACTCTGAAGTTGACTTTTCTCCACTTCCAAGCACTCTCACACTGTACAGCCCCACCGCTTTACACTCTGCAGTGGGGGGATGGAGCTGGAGATCCCCAGGGTGCAGGAGGGGCAGCTCAACCATCCCCATCCCAACTGCTGGAAGAGCTTCTTCCAGTTCCACACTATTTTTCGGACTCTTTTCAACTGATAACAAACACTACTAACACTCTGGTTATGTGAAATCCTGGAGAGTAAGAACCTGTCTGGTGCCACCAACCCTACTGACACAGCTTGCCAAACTGCCACCAGATATTGCTGGTCTCTGCTGACTGAGGCTGGATTTGAACTCCTGAAAGGGTTCACGGCCCATATCCTATTACACCAGCTGAGCCACGCAGTTGCTGTAGGACAGAAGGGGCTGTTTAAACACAGGTGGCTAAGGAACAATCCAGCAGATCATGGTAAGTTGTGTATTCACCAGGGGGAAAGTTTATGGCTCTTACTGTGATGCTTCTTTCCAGATCTTACAACTGTTTTGCTTCAAGGGGCCCCCACTGTTGTGAACTGCAGAGGACTTGGATAATACTTTTGGAGAGCAGGAAGAGGGTAGAGAAATGAGATTAAAAAAAAGATTTGTTGCTGCATCATCTCCATTTCCCAGAGGAAAGCTGGATTCAAGAAGAATAACAACATGGAACAGGACAGAAGATTCAAGAGGAAAATGAAGTATAGAGACTTCCAGCAGAAGGTGGTGATCATGCTGCTCTGTGGAACAGCCTATGCTTAGTAATAGGACAACTTTCAAACATCAGAAGTTCTTATCACTTGACTGTTTAAATGCTTATCTGAAATGAGCTGGGTGTCCACAGCCTGATTCTCAGGACACAACTGTTGTATTCATTGTTGCTTCAAGTGGTAGCTTTATTAAAGAGAACTCAAGTAATGAGCTGGACAGAGACTAAAGGATTTTTTTTTCCCCTGCTAGTCACAGTCCCTTAATTCAGATTTCAGATATGTAAGGGAGGATGTCTGTATTCCTGGATGTCTGTATGCTGTGGACAGTCTCAGTCACTGAGCCCATTCAGTACTCAACTTCACACATATTCATAATGAGAAACAGGACACCACTCACTTGACTTGCAAACCTACTGCAAGTGGCTCTACCTGTCAGAAAACTGTCAACTGTGCTGGCATTCGCAATACTCATACCTAAGAGTAAAATGGGTTTCAAAATAATTCAGAATCATCACTAACTTCTGACTGCAAAACGTTCTAGATACAGCAAGGGTTTCACAAGAAGTAGAAGGCATTCAGAACAGGATGGGGGTTTGGAAGCTAGGCTGAAGAAGTTAATGGTGAACGGTTGTGTAGCTAACACTCACTACTGTGGCTACATGCCAAACCAAATGTGATTCTGAACGCAAAGCACATGATTTGGGCATTTGAAACGTTATTGAATTCTGATGAGGAAGGTCAGGGAAGGAAGAAGGTGGCACAACTGTCACCTACCTGAAGTCTCCGGACAAGTCCCGTGCATGAGGCCAAACATATTGCCACAAGCCTTACTGACAGCTGCCATCTTAGCAAGAACAGGGAGGTTGTGAATTACAAAGGACACCTCATTTCGCTGCTGCTTGGCAAGGTTTTGTGCATGCCCCAGGATTCCAAACCCCGTGATGTCTGTAGCTGCGTGTGCATTGAAAGTGTGCATGAGTCCAGCAGCTACAAGAGAGGGAGGGGAAAAAAATTATCAGGAAAAACAATGCTTCAACAATATTGTGCACAGTCTGAATGATGCTACAAACCCTTAATGTGAGTCAGGCTGGGTTCCAGTTTACTTAAAAAAAATAATAAATAAAAAAATAATGCTTGAAGGGAACTGGAATTCACCAATAGTGCATGTAACCCCTAGAAAATTCAACTTGTATTTAAACTATTAAATCATGCTGAAAATCCAGCACCAAAGTTGTATCTGTGAACGTGCTCTATTAGACATGTGCTACTGATTTATATTAGCAGTCTAAGAAACGTAGGTTTGCTCCAGATTCAAACTTCCCAAAGTTGATGGTCAGAGAGCTTCTGATCTCAGCCTTGCTTCATTAATGGCAAGGACCAGGCTCATCCCGGGTCAGTTCTCACATCCCTTCCCCTGACACTTCCTAAAAGGATAGCAGCAGAACTTAAGAGCTTAAGAACAAAGCCTGCAGGTTGTGGGGGAAGGGCCACAGACCCCCACCTACATTCATGAAATTCTTGGGTATTTGCAACTACAGAGCCCGGGGTTGGAGGAGGGCACCTCTGCATGCAGGACAATAGCTCCAGTTAAAAATATTTAAGTGTTGTTGTTAAAGGTGTCTGAGAAGAGTGAGTGGAATAAAACAAAACCAAGAAAGCTTTGCCTTTCTTTGGTGCTTCCCAATACATGAGTAGGACTGAACTGTTTTCCGTAAGACCATCCTGGTCATTTATTTTTTCTGGAAGACTTTGTGAAAGCATGAAAATCCAGTAGGATGGCATAACAAATACCAAATGAAAGCAGAATAAATGGGAGAAGAGATATTTAAGCTAACCCTGTTCCTTCAAATGAGAAATAAGAAAACACTTAATTCAATTCTCTGCTCTTCCAAAGATACTTTGGACAAAAAAAAGGAAATCCTGAATTAAAACTTCTAGGGTAAAACCAAAAACTTCCCTCCCACAAATAACAGGGAAAAAAAAAAAAAAAACCCCAAACAAACAAAAAAAACCCACAGAAAATAAAATGTGCTACATATTCTGCACTTTAGGAAGCACATGACAAAATTAAAACCCAAAAATTTAAACTGAGTCATAATTGTCTCCAGCAGCATCTGTATTTTTGCTTCATAATTAAAAGAAGGCATTAGATTTTAATTTGCTTGCTTCACAAACAGCATGAAGACAGGGTAGAAGGAAGGGATAAAGCAGTTGTGTCACATTTCACCATGGCAGTGAAAAGAAATTAAGCATGAAAATGGAAAACCCCCAAACCTCCCCAACATACACGTCTGCTTACCTGTTCTGTTCAGTCGTGCCATATTCATCATTGCTTCCTGGTATGCTAGCTCTACATCTTCTTGTGTTACCACTAGTTTGATTTTATTCCACTTTTCTGGCTAATGGATGAAATAAAGATGATTCTTTTAGATTTTCACCTGTATATTTTCAAGTACACCCTCACCACTTTACAAAAATCCTTCACCCAAAAGATACTTTTTTTTTTTTTAAACTCAGTTAGAGGAGCAAAAGATTGAACTGTCAGAGGTGTGTGCCTGACTCTGCTGCACCCCACTGAAGGTCTTTTAAAGATCTACTGGACACTAAGCTCCTCAAACCTTACTTTCAGGAGCAGAGTAGAGAGGAAAAACCTACCCTAGGGCAAAGAACTCCTTCAAGTCAACTCTCTGGCTTGAACTCTGAAGCCATACGAAAAAGAACTTTGTTGCTGGGTGCTGTTATTTGTAATCTCTGGCTTCTTGGGTTTTTTTAAGAGAAAATTCTTGATTTCATACTGGACACTGATCAAGAAAGACCACTGATATCCACAAGTCCAGGTCTGAGGGATGTATGCTAAGGCAGGATGTCATCACTCTAGTGAGTCAGAACTAAGAAAATTTCATAAGCTTCCTTTGTAGTTTAATACCAGCATCTCCTTTCACCCATCCTCCAGTGTCTGGACTCCCACCTCCATTGCATGCTAAGCCATGCTTTTCATCCCCAGAGGGGCTCCCAGCAATTTTGGAAATAGTACCTTTATAAAGGGCAATTGTTTCATTCAAAGCTGAAGTAATTCCAGATCCAGAATGAAACAAAGCAACTTTTGTAGCTTTTAAAAGCAACACTACAAACTAGTTCAATTTTTTTTTTTCCCCCCAATGGAAATAAATTACAGAGAACTGAGAGTAAACACAAACAGGATTTTTGAAGCCACAATGCCTACACTGCCACTGCACTGAATAAACACATGGAACAAGCTTCTTACTAAACCAAAGGTGCAACACCTAAGAATTGGTGTATGATGCTGTGCTGGGGAAGGGTCTTGTCAAAGAGGCTCTTACCCTTAACAAGTGCGTGCTGACTTCAAGGGGTGTAAGAGAGAAACCAAAAATGGCAGGAGGGAGAAAGACTGGTCAGCCAAAACAACCATTTGTTAAAGAGCAAGAAAACATAGCAGTGCGGTCAGAGCTTCTGAAATTAGGTTAAACTGGGTCTGATCAATTAAGTAAGAGAGAGCGCAAGTAAAAAATATAAATGAGGCTATTAGAGAGGGGACAGAATAGTGATTAATCTTACTGTGTGCATGACTGAAAGCCCTGAGCAGACATCCTGCCTTGGTTATCAAAACCACTGCTCTGGGGCTGATCATGTGATGGAAATCAGTCAGATGATGGGAACGGAAATCACAAATGAAGTGGAAGCGGAACTCGAGGCAGAGGGTAGGAGAGCCACAAACACAGGTAGGACACAAATTACATGTAAATTCCTCTCTGGTGTAGCAATCTGATACTAGGGCTAGTAGACAGGGGAAAAAAAAACAGACAGAAAAGCTCACAAAAAAACCCAAACAACTTTTATAAGCAACCTTAGATTTCTAAACAGGAAGGGTCTGTAGACAACAACAAGGGCTAGAAAACCCCTTCTGAAGGGGCACATCACAGCAACCCCTCTGAGGCCTTTCAGCCAAAAGAGAAGGCAAAGGGATGTCTGTCCCAGGTGTGGACCAGCCTATCTGCCCACGTCATCAGCCTGGCAGCCACAGCCAAAGGTCCACAGCCTGGACCCTGGGGACTCTTTCAGGCTCTTCCTGTGCACCCTGCGGCAGCTGCTGCCAGCAACACAGCTGGGGCTCGGCTGCAACAGCACTGGCAGCAACCAAGCAAGGAGGGCACAAATTCTGCCTCCATTTGGATCTTCCTTTCACTTGTCACCAGGAAATCGTTCACTACTGCTGTGTTTGGATACCTCAGCTTTTAGGCTGGGTGTTTTGGTTTTAATTTTTTTTTTTAAATTTGTTTTGCAGCTACATATCTCCACACTCCAGTTCCCCCTTCTTGCCTATGCATAAATTTGCTGTACTATGTACCTTCTCCCACATGCTTTTTCAATACAAAGTCAAATTTCCTACAGAAATTTGATTTATGGGTGGATTTGTGACGGGTAATTCTAGTTTCACTTTCCATACTCTTTCACAAACACAAAGCTGAAGAAAAGGCAGCACAGCTACTCGGAAATTTTCCTACCACAAAGATATATGCTGTTTACATGTAAAAGGAGGATTGATTTCCTTGCTGTCCTCATTTTTCAGACCAGAAAGTGCTCCTGGTTGACAGTCAAGGAAATTAGAAGTACTTGAAATATGTGGAAATTCAGAAGATCCTTAATTTGCAAGTCTGTTTGTCAGTACAGTAATAGATATGTTAAGAAGTAAGATTATGGCCAGAAAACATACTATAAAATTGGTGTCTTGTTCTTTCACTTCATTTTCATATCAAGATTATCTGAGGCCCTGATCCTGATTTCTGATTGGAAAACGCAGGGTTCTGCAGAGGTCAAAATTGCTAGGCCAGACCCTATGAAGAAGGAGAAAAAAATATTTTTTCTTGTTGCTCACACTTCAGACTCCAACGAAGGTTTATGCTGGTTCTCTCCCACTTTTGCAAACACAGTCTTTGTAATTGGGATTCATCTGACAATGTAGTGGCCAACAGCCATGACAAAGTAGATTCTAGCTCACTCCTCTGCCAGTCTATTGGCTCAGTAGTCCCAAAAGTAGAAAAGATGCATCTTTTTAAAGTGTGAACTGAGCAGTTATAATTCTGAAGACACGTACTGGGAGCCAGACAACATAACCAGATGCCAATTTTGCAGTCACTTTTCAGTTCAGTAGTTACATTTTTGCCTGAAGTAACAGATGGAAGTATGTCTACATACATAGTGCTGCTAGAAATACTCTTATTGAATGCACGGGGCGATACATGTGAATTGTAGATGTATTTCCATGTACACAAGCAGAAAGCCCATGAACACAGGCAGCAATCTTGGCCTAATTGCCATCAACAAGCTTTTGCCAATAACTTTAGCAGGTGGAGTAGGGCATAATTTTACTCAGGGTGCTCAATCTGTTGTTCTGTTAGCAAACAATTTTGTTTATTACAGCAATGCCTGAGAACTATCTAAGAAATAGATGCAATTAAGACGGGCTCACTAAGCTCAAGATAGCAAATTGTCTCAATTCCAAGTGCTGCACGTTAGCAGGTAAGGCTGACACACCAAGGAGGAAGGAGGAGAGAGGTGCCAGGTCATTCCCAGCTGAGCCTTTGGTGTACATATTACACCCTGAACCTGATGATCTTAAAGGTCTCTTCCAACCTAGAGGATTCTATGATTCTGTGATTTTGAGGGAATGAGGAGGGGTCACCTTTACCTCACATGCCTCTTCCCCATTTCTTTTTTTTGCAGTATACTTACAATATCTAGCCACTGGTGGACAGCTACAGCCACTTGTGTTCCCAAGGGTTTAGTTAATACAAGCACATCTCCTGGTACTGCATTGTCTGGCCTGGAAACAAAGAATTCATATATTAATTACATAGTGAGATTCACACACATTATTAGGAATAAGTGCTGATAATTACATTTTCACAGACCCATGTATCTTGTTGCACAGTTAAAAAAAATGAGTAATTGCAGAATTACCCTTTGGGATTCATTGTCATGGGATATTATTGAGCAAAATGCTGCAAACTTAGTCAAACGTGCTAATCCTTCTTTCTTAGAACAATGTTTGCAGTCAGACACACAACATTACATATTTTCTTTAAATTTAATGGAGACGTAAGATGGGACAGGGAAAAAAGCTGACCTCTGTCACTTCAGGGCATAAGATAACCATCACTAGGATCACAAACAAATTTATTTCTACAGTGCAACATACCCCATTAGGACATTCAAAATCAGCTACTGTTAACTGGACAGAATGCCAGAAAGACAGCAATTCTGTTGTTCTCTACAGCCATGAATAAGATAAATGGGAGATGGTTTAAAAATGTATGTATAAATATGAAAGAAATTTACATCCCAAAACAGTCTTCAATACCTTTAAAACTCAGAAGCTTTGCTCTCCTGTCAAAAGGAGAGCAGGATCAAAAGATACTGGGGTGTGGGGAGAAGTAAAAGGACATCCTGTTTAGAAAAGCAAATATGTACAAAAGAGATGTGGCATCTGTTGAGGACTAAGGACCAATGCAAGCAGAAGCTACTGCTTTATTCACCAGGAGACAGATCACAACATGCTATTTAAGGGATTTTTACTGTATCCCTTTAGACCAGTGCCTTTGATTGTTTAACGATTTAACTTACATTATAAATTCATTAGGCTGACAGACTGTCGTGGCCACTCCTCCTAAAACAATCCAGGGATTTAACACTGTTTGGCCACCAGTAACAGATGTTCCTGCCTCTTCTGCTGCATCTTTGAAACCCTGGATAATTAGAGGCATCACTTTGTCTCTTTCCTAGAGATCAAAACAGAAGTCAGAGTTCCATACACAGCAGTGCTAGTCATTTCCAGACCAGTCCAGGGCTTTTATTCACTCACACCAAATGCCCTCATGGCAAATAGTTCATGACAGAAAGCCAGCCTTAGGAAGAGGTCAGCCTCCTGGAAATGGCATGTGTTCCCACTGAGCTATCCTTTCACAGCTCTTTGTAAAAGAGGTGAAGAGACAATTCTTATTAAGAAACACATTCTTCAAAAAGTCACAAGTTCTGGACACTCATAACAACTCCCCTGCTATGGTCAGCAGGTACAGCCACAGCAGTGCATGCAATAAGGCAGTCAAATCAAGCTACATCTGGCATCTGCTAACGGGCAAAGTTTCAACTTACTTCCTTCTAAGAATAAACATCCCTTTTATGGCAGAGCAAACCAAACATACATACATGCTGGTCACTTCCACCAAAAAAAAAAAAAAAAAAACCCAAAAACCCAAACCTATAAAAAAAAGCAACACAAATCCAACCAAGCAAAAAAAGCAGCAAAGCAATCCATTTCAGTTTCTTCCACTTCACGGAGCTCTTGCAAAGCTGGCACAGCAAACCAAAGTATCCATCCAGACTGACAAGGGAACTGGAAATCAAATGCTGCCCTGGAGCAATGTTGACCCAAATGGACAGAACCAGAGGCACCATTTTGGTGGAGGTGAAGGTATCAGCAGCAGGTGATCACAATGCCACAGAAACCTGAACCTTTAGCAGGTGACCTCAGAACATTTATCAGGCAAGACCCATACTATGAACTTAAGACTGTGGAAATGAAACTACATCTTTAAAAAGCTTGAAACTTTAAATACACTAACTTTAAATACATTCTAAGCATGCTTAGCTGGTTGGGTCTTCCTTCAAAAGCAAGTACCAACAATCTTACCCTATCTGTCATTTTATTGCTGATTCCAAGGAGCATCAACATGTTGTCGCACTCTGTGACCCCCATGGCATAAAGGTCACTTAGGACATTGGCACATGCTATCCGTCCCTGAAAGAGAAAGAAAGGAAAGGAAAAAAAATCTGCAGGGCTGTTTGGGAACATTCAAACACCTGCCTTGAACAAAACTTTAATGCCAAGTGTGCATTCTGAGACAGCTTATTCCAGGGCCTTAAGGAGCCCAGCCAAAGCTGCGGTAGGACCCACCCTGTGCAGTGAAGCAGCTTCATCTGCCCGACGTCAGTCAGGTGGTGCCTGCAGGGCACGGTGTATGCCAGGGCCCCAGGAGCTCAGGGTTCCCAGAAGCTGGGCTGGTCACCAGGTAGGAGCACACAGAGCTCCTGGGAAGAGGTGTCCGTCCCCCAACACTTCTATCTGGGAGAGTTGTGCCCGCTCTGTCACTTGTTCAGATGACAAGATAAGGCTGAATTTTGTGACAGTGCCTACCTTTTAATTGACTTTTGTATGTGTGAACATCTCCACTAACAAAAATTTGCCCACTGGGGTCATGGGAGCTTAGCTGTTCTACTTTTGCTACATTAACAGACCCAAGTGAGGTTTTGTTGGGATTTGGATCCAGCAGAGATGAGACATTGAGTTTCCTGATGATGATGCGGAATTCTGACAGAGGATGTGCTCTAATGGATTGCAATATAAGTTTAAAATACAGGACAAATTCTGGTGTGTTACTCTGGAAGACTCTACACATCTTATTAAAATTGTTTTAAGTTTACAGAGGCAGACCAGTAACTAGCACCTGATTTTATGACTTCATCTCTGTGCTTTTCATAAAGTTCAAAGGGAACGCCACCACAACAAAAACAACGACATGCTTATTTGATACAACTCAGGCTACAGAAAGATCCTTCAGCTGGAAGACAAATTTTGATTAAAAAAGAAGGAATCTAAACACTTCCACTATCTCTAAAACCTTATAGTCTAATCACATAACCATTTTCAGACAGTTACCTCACTTGTTGATGACATGAAATAACACCTCCGAATCATAATTAAATATAATCCATTTTTTCATAAATTCAAGAACTTCCAGTTACATCAGGGGAATCCCTTAGATTTGGAACTGGAATACATTTTAATAATTTCAATCTTTAACTGTTAAAAGAAGAGTGAGTTGCGTGCTGCATGGTTTGATGGATGTTGGCAGTTAAGCTTCTAGGTGTTTAAGAATACTAAAGCCTGGCGTTTTCTTTTTCTGGAAGGGGACTACAAAGCCATTCTCCACTATCTTCAGTATTTACCAAGCAAACTGTTGGTTTACGCCCTCTTAGGAATGACAGGTAAGTTTTTAAAACCACATGGACAAGAGCTCTCTGTTCTGGCAGTCAAGAGGCCAGTGTAACACCACTTCTGCAAACTGGCAAAACCACCACGGAAACAAACTCAAGGAGTGTACATCTCAAGTCTGAAGTAGCAGAGGGAACAGTCATGGTTCACAAACACCACCAAACACAACAAGATTCACAGAGGTCAGCCAGGCTGGGTCCTGCATGCTACCTGAACACTTGCTTAGTCCTCATGAACACAAGTAGCCACGTGCAACACTAATAACTATTTATAAGGGCAAAGGATGGAGTATCAGACACCCATCCCCAGTCTTGAGTGACGGTTCTTTCTAAAAGAGCACCAAAAGGAGGAAAGAATTCCACTCTCAAACCAGCCTGTTTCCTGCTCTTGTACTCAAAAGGACATCTCCAAAGTGACATGACATAGGCCAGTACCAGTGGCATGGTACTTACCAGGAAACCTACTTTCAATTGCCTGTAACTTTCCCAGTATCAAACCATTTAAGCTGGAAGTTCTATGCTGCATACAGATTTTACAGACTTTGTGTGAAGTCTCCCAAGAATGTACATGGATTGTTTTCAAGAATAAAGCCAAAGAGAAGGGGAAAAGGGAAAAGAAGGAAGAGGTTTATTGCACATAAATGCAAAACTTTGTTTTAAAACAGTCAGTGACAGAGAGAAAGCTGTCTTCTGAAGCAGAATTCTGAAGTCCAGCTGAGGCCACATACAGTTTTGCCTTCCTCAGCCATTTTCTAATCCCTTCTGTCACAGCACCCACACTGGAGTCCTTTTGCACTTTTGGCTTTCCCTCCCTGCGTCCCCTCCCCGCAGCTAGGAAGAGAGATCAGGTCAGGAGCTGCAGGCAGACACTACACACAGAGACAGGGAGAGGCTCTAGAACAGGGAACAACCTAGGATTGACTAGGTGAGGAGACAGAGCAGGAGAGCAAGAAGCAGAGCATGGACTGCATGTGAGTGATAACCAGAACAGAGTGGCACCAACAGGCATGGGTCTGGGGACACCTGGACTAAAGCCATGGACAGAAGTAGTTGGAGAAGTGAGGCTGCAGCAGTCTCTCTTGAACGGAGGAGTCCAGAGCACACTCCTTTATACAGCCTGGACACAAACTCCAAATTCCTGAGTCTTGCCATTCCTTTGCTCTTAACAACTGTCCATAAACCCTGTGGTAAATGCTATTGGACTGTCCTCCACCTGATGTGGGTCCACACAAGAAAATGGCAGACTATGCTGCCTCCACATACACTAGTCCCCAAAAGAGAAAGGGTCAAGTAGAGGATCCAACAGCTCCAGCCCTGCTGGACCACCACTATAGGGATCCAAGGAGGCCTGTGACAGATTCCCTGTTCTCAGGTTTTAAGGAGAAATACACATCTCTTAATCACTTAGGAAGTGGCAAGCCACCACAATAAAATGAGTGTGGGCAAGGATGAAAAGTGAAGGACTTGAGTTAGGAAACACCAAAGTTAGAGCTTGGGGTGAACGTGGAGCACAGTGCAGACTGTAACTACAATGCAACCGCTAAAGTTGGACTAAGGCCAAATCTACATTCCACTCCTACCACACTGGCTTAAACTTCATCTGGGCACAGGCTCATCTACCTACTTCTGTGGCATCCCACAGCCTTTGTACCTCCAAACAAACCAACTGTCCCCCTTCAGCACAGCCTGCTCACACTGCCCCTCACAGGTTTTGTTACAAGGTGAGAGAGGAGAGTTTCTCAGCTGATGAAGTTGAACACAGCTCACCAGCAACATGTTTTTTCTTTTTCCTCCTCTGGTCCCTGATGAGTTCCCACATGATATTAAAGAAAGGCACTTGAGTCAAGTTTCTCAGGAGAGCTCAACAAGTCTGTACTCTAGAGGCCAGCCTGAGATCTTGGCTGCTCAGTCTGCAGAAAGAGAGCTCTTCTGGAACAGAAATCAAAGGAGCTAGGTTTGCATATGTGCACAAGACCTGGTCGAGCACACTAAAAAAACATATTGGGTCAGTCCCAATCTCAAACTGTCTGTCCAAAACCTACCCAACAGGTCTCACAGAACAAACACCGAGCCAACAACAGCAAATAAAGCACGCAATCACATCAACAGCAGCAAAAACATGCCTTAAAGGAAAGGACTAACCTTCAAATCACAGGAAACATGAATTCTAGCATTTCATAACTTTCTTAACTTTCATTTAATGAACACCTCCTGTAGAATTCCTTACAGCTTTATTAAATCCTTTTTTAAAGTACATTTGTTTCCCCACGATCAGGTCGATACTGATCACTGCCACACGTAACACCTCAGAGGACTCTCTACTGAAACAGACTAACTGAAATAGTGACACAGAAGGGACAACGTGCACGCAGCTTCCAACAAATCATCTCAACTTCTCTATCTGCAAGCAGAGGTAGCACGACAGGAAAAGTGGCATTCACAAAGCACTCTGAAGCTGCCAGGTGCTACTGCCAAGTACTGTCAGTTTGGCATTTCCAGTTCTAACATGTTACCTGGTTGTTTCAGAATCTCAACAAAAGCCAGTTACAATGTGGTTCTGCTCCTAAGCAGAGCTTATTGTCTGCTTCTTCACAGACATCTCTTCCCCACCCCCATTTTGGGCTTTTCAGGACACGTCTCACAGATAGAGGGACATCTGAATTATACGTGGCAGTTCTCCCAACTGTCCCATACAGAAACCAGCACTTGTAGCCTTCTTGGCCACCAAGGAGAAGACTACAGGATAAACCAATGCCTTTTCCTCTTCACAGGTATGTAGGAAGGACTGTTTGATTCCCTGCATTCCATCAGCACTGCACACCTCGGAACACCAAGCGACTGGTAAGCGAGAAGCACGAATCAGAACAGCAGCACAGCTAGCATGGAAGTTCAGCTGACTTACCATCATGTAAGGGTCATCCACAATAGGATAAATATAATCCGTCGTCTGGACCAACGACAAACCTCCATGTCTTAATGGAATAACACAAGTGTCCATCCCAATTCCTGCAAAGACAAATCCCCCAATTAGGTGAATGAATAACTTTGCCCTTAATTATCTGTTGCTCTTAGCAAAGGACTTATAAAAATCCATGGCTGTGAAATACAACTCACAATCCTCCCTGAACAGACAGTGCAAATTCCTCCCGTAGAGAAAACACATGGCAAAAGTAAGAGGAAAACTGAGCAAAGAATGAAAACTCCTGACTGGGGCAGAAGTGTAAATGGCTGAAAGCAAGAACTAAAATATGCTTAATTTTTTTTTTTTTTTAACATAATAATAGCACTTTACTGTTATTATACATGTTCTTAATGAACACCTGTGCTTGGTCTGTAGATGTGTACATTTCAAGTTAAGAGGAACTATGTAAATTGATAGTCAATAGTGACAGTTTCCAAAGGACACAGCCTCTCACAAAAGCCATTTCCTCACTGCAGGAGGAACACAAAGAACACCACAAGTTACAGCCTCCGCCCGTGGTGAAAGATGCTTCACTCAACTGGAGTTCTGCAGCTGCATTAACCTCGCTAAAGGCAGCAAGAGGACCTGCCAGGCAGGGAAACTCCTCTGAGAAAACCACCCGCTCACACGCAGCCTCTTCCCTCAGGGTGGCTACTTCAAACAGAACGAGTGACACTGAAACCCCCGGCGCCTGCCGCCACCCAAGAGCCCACAGAGGAGCAGTGGGGACAGATCCCACCTGGCCAGCTGAGCCATGCTCCCCCTCCACAGCCCTGAGCCTTGTGGCTGTGGCAGGCAGCTCACCGCCTTCCTGGGCTGAACCACTCTGCACACCCCGCAGGGAAAGTCTTCAAACAGGCATTTTCAGGGAGCAGATGCCACACGGTCACTTTTCCCCATGTACTGATGAAACGTGCTACCTGGCAAGAGCTACAATCCACTATTGGGCAGTGCCCTGTACAGGGCTGGGGCGAGCTGCTGTCATCTGAGGTCCTACTGAGGACACAGCAGGAGGTCTGGCAGGCAGCAGGTACAGACGTTGCTCATCCTCTGCAGAAGCTACCCAGCCACTACACGAGGGTCAGTGTCTGCAGGGAAGCACGCATAAGCAGTTACAGAGGAGAGGCTTATGTATAGGAGCTGTTTTGCCCTCGGTTCACCTACTTGGCCCATAACACTGCCAGGCTCTTTCACTTGTGTGGCTTCCCCCAATTTCAGCAGAAGTGCTGCTTGACAGACAGGCCAAGGGGCTGTGATGGTCCCTCTGAGGCTACATTTCTGTCTCACCAAAAAAGGCCAAAATAAGTGAATCTGTTCAGGGAGGATACTGATAACAGGGATTTCTAGTCCATAAAAGCTCTGAGAATTAACATCACACTTGCAGTTTCTTGCTCACTGATATACTTACAGCCATATTTCAGACTGCTCTGGGTAACACCACTTCCAGAATTAAAAGGAGTGAGCTTGGCTCTGCTTTAGGCAATTGCCCTGTTGACTGCATCTCAAAAGCACGGTGCATAGGCACAGGCTGTAAAGTTACCTGCCTGTCTATACATTTTAAACACAAGGCATCAGACTCAAGTTACACCAAACTCATCCAAAGACACATTTGTTAAAGGGATGCTCACCAGAAAAGCATATTTTTAATAGACCTGAACACTCCACTTCCTATGACTAACAGATTTGCTGTTAACATAATATCACACTGACATATTGGTGGCATTAGTCTACTTTGTCACCTTTTCATATAGTTGGAGAAGAAAAATCTATTAGCAGTCCCATTACTGTTTAGAGTCTGCAAGTTTATAAGAGGGGGAAAAAAACCAGCTCAACAGACAGGTACTTAAATCTAAACCAAACTATTATTGATTTTAGAGATTCGCTAAATCAAAATGATGTTGTGAACAACTTCTGTAATTTAGAAAAAAAAACAACATATAAATAGCAATTTGGGGATAAAAGAAGCTGGAAGTGTCCTTCATTAGGGAGTATTAAATTATAGTGCCACCCCAGCTCCACACACAATTGCTGCTTAGATATTTCATACAAAGATCACCATTGTTTAAGCAAGAACAGGGGCTCCTTACTAATCTGTCACTAAATTCAATTTCTACCAGAATAATGGGTTGCAACCCGTTAGCCTGTTAATAGACAATTAGCAATATTAAAGTAATTTTAAATAAGGTTATTGTACGCTAAATTGATAATTAAATAATTTCAGAATAAATGCTGCATTGATAATCCTAAATTGAGGAAAAAAATTCATTCTGCACTGCAAAGCAGAGATTGGATACACAGGGCTGAGTAAACAAAGAGAATTAAAAGTGTAATTAAACACATTATCTACATTGATTTATCTATGTCAATATTAGGTACAGTAGCTGGTATCAAAATACCTACATTTGCCCTGTTCCCCATGTAGGTGGCTCGTGCAGGTTGTTTTCCCTTATTGCTTGCATCATTGTGCAAATATCAAAGAAAGTGAAGCTGGCAAGAACACAGAGGTCTTGGAAAGACAGCCTTTCCCAGGCAGCTTCCCCAGGCGAGCAAAAAAGTTACAGTGGGGAACAAGGAAAGGACCGAAAGGAAAAATGACAGCTGTGAACCAACCCACTCCCAGCCTCAGCTAAGTGAGCAAGTTCTCTCTTGCTCTTGTTCTCTGACCCAGGAACAGAGGAGAGGAAAAGGAGAGGGGAACTGCACCTGAGTCATCTAATTGCACAAAACTCCTTGCATTCATTTCTATTAATGCATTGCCTTTGGCAATTTAAGCAAAGTCCAGAAGTTAATTGAGATGACTTCAGTTTGCAAAGCATCTACTGGGGAGAGGGAGGAGGAGCCCAATGCCTGAGCCCGTGCCCATCACAGTGGCCAATCCTGACTGTTTGCTCCTTTGCAGTTGAGCACACTGCAGGATGCTAAATAATTAAAATAATATTCTTACATCCCAGGTGCCAAAAAAATGACAAAGCGAGATTCGTCCTTCAGATTTCTGGATGCTGTGCGCACATTATACAATGCACAATTTTCAGAGCGATTAAACCAACCACAAATGAGATCACGTCACTAAGGAGACCAAAGAGAAGGACCACGGGTACATAGAGGAGCCACTACTTACCCAACCTGGGCATGACTGCACCCAGGAACTGTTCATCTTCCTGAAAATGGTTTTCTTGCAGAGATTCAAGCAGCTTCTGTAGGACATCCTGAGGCACTTTGCAGCCCGTGCCTTTCAGTTCCGTGAACCGGGTCAGGCGGAAGCTCTTGTCCAGTTCGAAGCTCTCGGGGTTGAAGGACTCCCGCACAGACATGGTGCTCCCCACAGCAACGCCCTCAGCTCCTCTGCTGATCAGGCTGGTTCAAAACAAAAAAAATAGATTAAAACTTTGGAACCTTAGCAATTCCTGGGACCTGCGAGACAACAGGTTTTCCACAGGCAGCAAGTTAAAAAGAGGAAGCACTGGAAGCCGTCCTTTGCTTGTTAAGCTGGTGGCACATCTCACACAGAAGTGATTGCTCTGAGAATACAAAGGAATGACCCCCCCTTCCAACGTGTAAAACTAGAATTATACCAGGCAAATCAGAGAGTTAATTTCTTTTTCAGGTATGCTGCAAAAAACTTTTTTCATTAAAAAAAAGAAGACCCTAACAAACGTACCAACCTCATTTAACACAGGGGCAATGAAAGAAAGAATTGCCAGAGGATGGAGGGGACTGATTTCCAAAAGGTAACCTGGGCCCCGACCCTGCAACTTGCTCAGTGGAGATGTCTGTTGGTACTCTGCTCAGTGCAGGGTTATAATTGAAGCCATTAACACATTCTCAAAAATAAGATGTTTTTCAAATAATGGCTCTGCTTCAGTTCTGATGTAAGAAGCTGAAGCGCTGTAATACACCTGTTCTCCTTGGGGGGAAAGGCAATCCCCTGCTCTGTTAGTACAGGTAACAGAAGAACAAAGAGCCTGTATTTAAGCAAGCTGGTTTGCCCACAAACATGCCAGTTCACCTTTTAGTAAGGTCGCAGACATAAAAACGTTGAAAAGTTTCTTGCCTCTCGAGCCCTTTTTTAGTCAACGAACAATACTGAGAACAGAGAGAATTGTCCATTAAAATGGTAACGTAAAAAGACACTGATGCAACTCATTTAATAAAATTCTTAACAATGCACGTCTAATTTTAGAACGTTTTTCCATTCTGACTCACACACACACCACGCTCCAAAACTAATAAGAGGCCTAACTGAGACACTGACTCCTAAACGGGGACGGCTGTGATAAAATGCAATTCATCTTTCTCGCACAAGTTTTCAGGAATTACTAAAAACGACCTGTCTGTGGTAGTTCCTTAGAAAGCAAAGACTGCTGAAGAACGAGAAGAACTGAGTGCAGCAGGGATGATGACAAAACCTGCTACTGATGGTCACGCTGTTACCAGGTTAAGCTGCAAAGCAATAATATGAAGGCAAGCGTCTGGTATTTGCTAAGTTTGACAGCACAAAAGGTAAAAGAGAAGTAAATCTTCAGACTGCACAACCAATTTCCCCTATACAGCACTTAATAAGTATGTCCACTCCATAAACTTTTACATCTACTAATTTATTGTGTGTATTTTGTAGGAATTGAAGTTTTAAGCTCCCTGAGAAGTTCTGATGTGGAGCCCAGCTCCCCTTCCCAGCACTTTCCCTCCTTCTCTGGGAGGCGTGGCACTTATTTAAAACAAATCTTCCAAAGCCCAGGCTCGGGCAGTAATCCAAACTCTAGTTACAAGAACGTGTCTTGGATGAGCAATGAATTCGGTTCGTAGCTGTTGTCTTCCAATGCAAGACACTGAACCCCTTGCAACCAAAACAAAAAAAGAAAAAATATACAAAAAAAGATAGTGTCTGGAAAACAACCTGTCAACAGAAACAGGAGACAAAAGCTTTTCACGGAAGGGGACTCCCCCCCCCTTCGTTCTTTTTAACACTTCATTTTAATTAACTCCAGAATTTTACAAAAAGCAGCGTGCCCCACAAGGGAAACATTTCCCCCGCATCTAACTAGTAATTGCCATATACTTAGCACCCCCTACCTACTTATACAGGGAAGGATTCAGAGGCCACAGCCTCACAGGAACTTTCTGCAGCCTCGAGGAGCGTGAAGACACAGTAATTCAGGTTCCCCGGTTTGAAAACAAATACTGAAACAAGCCAGACGATTTTATTTAACGGAACCATCCACAATGCAAGAACACAGTAACTTTTTAACAGAGACCAGAACAGAGCTGCACGCAGCCGTTTACTCTGCCGGCTGCCACGGGAGCAACCTCCCTTGCAAGACCGAGTTTCTTGCGGCTGCTGACATTAAGCCTGTGCAGGCATGAGACCTGAGCGTCTAACGCCTCTGCCCAGCAGAGCAGAACACCTCCCAGCCCAGATCACAGAATCGTTAAGGTTGGAAAAGACGTCTAATATCAGCTCCAACTGTCAAACCCAACACTACCATGAC